ATTTGTTGACGGCAAACTCAGATCTGATAAGTGACAAATGAAGTGTTTGAAAATAGCTGTGTGTGATGATTAATTCAGTTTTCCATTAAGAATCATGGAGACTCACGTGATTGGGCCATGGCAGTGATTTTGTAAACACTCCAGAATACTTGGAGGTGCGACATCCTGCCAGAAGTAGTAGCTGGAATCAGTGGTTAGTCTGAAGTAACCATCAATCAGTGACACAAACGAAAGTGCTTCTTTTAGATCCTGGAACCTGGCTTCCTGCAGTTTAAATCAAATGAATCAGTGTAAAACAGTGATACCAGCAAAAACAAATACCAGAGACAACAGACCATAAATGTGTTTGTTGTCTCCTACCAAGCATCTGTCGTCTTTACGGGTTATTGTCACCACCCTGCTGTCAAGGGGTACATGTTCGAGACACACCCTCTTAATACTGATGTCAACGATTTCTTGAAAATCACAGAAAGTCTGCCATTCCTAAAAAAATAAAAATCATTTTGAAATCATTTTGTATAAGGAATAAGAATAATAAGTTACTGTGAATCAATCAGATTTATGCAGTTGATTTGAACATGTTTTGTTAAATCAATTAAATGAACCAACAGGTGAAAATAAACACTTGTTTTTATTCTTACCAGGGAACAACCATCATTCTGACTGCTCCCGCTGATCTGAATCCCAGTTTCCCCGCTCACTCGAATAAGACCGGACTCTGAGGTAGAAGGATCAACGTTGAAGGTTTCACTCCCCAGAGAAGGTTCAATGGAAGCCAGCTCAGTCAGGTACTTGAGTTTCAAACTGCACTCGTCTGCGGAGCAGTTCCCGACTTTCTTCAGGAATTTCTTGAGGGTATTTCGGATTCTGAAGCGATCCACACAGTTCCGTTTCTGAATGTCGTGGCGGTGTGACGTAGGAAGGCAGGATTTATAGCTGAAACAGAAAAGTGGGTGATGTAGGGAGTAGTTCTCAATTATTTTCTGTCATGCCCCCCACCTTGGAGACAGAAATGGTTTCATCACCCCCCCCCCCCCCGCCCCCCCCCGCCGTGATTTGAAATATTATTGAGAACCTGGTAACATGTATATTTTTATCTGTACAAACCACTGTATGAGTTGCTGCCACCTAGTGACTGGATGCTTGGGGGGGGGGCGCCCCACTATTTGAGAAGTACTGTTCTAAGGCAACTTGCTCATCAGCATTGCTTCCTCTTAGGTTTTTTTCGTATTGTACACAATTAGTAAGATAGCATATATAAATATGTTTAGGTGGGCTACAGTGTACTTTTCAGAGATAGTTATATTTCACTATTCTCAACAGTACATACCTGACAGTCCTGCAGAGCTCCCTGACACTCTGATGCTGCTCTTTAGCCATTCTCCACAAGTCCAACACAGCAAGGCCCAGACATTCCTCCTGAGTGCTCAAGGGCGGAGCAACTCCTGCCTCACTAGCAATAAAGTCACTTCGCGACTAAGCAAACACAACAAATCAGTCAGTGAACTATTCCGTCATGAATGACCTGATCTGTTTTCTGACTGCGACCAGTTCAAAATGTGAATACATTAAAGTGCACCTGTTCAAAAAGATAATCAATGACATTGCAGTCCAGCACGGTCCCCAGTGAGTCTCTGCTCAGACTGTAGCGGTGAGAAGCTCTGGGTCCTTTTAAGAACCAGTTTCCAAAGAAAAACCTGCACAAAAGAAGTTCATTTGTCATTTTGTTACAAAAAGATGTAGCTTGTGTCGCTTTAATGCGATCCTGAAGACAACGTTTTTATTATTTATGAGCAATTTATCGGATTTGTAAAAATGTTGGTCGGTTTATACCTGCTGTGTGATGCTAATTAAAAATGACAACAAGAAGTGATTGAATTACTGTAATAGAATCAGTTACAGAAGGTCTTTGTCTCACTCACAGTAGAAAGTTTTATATAAAAGTTATATATAAAGTTATATATAAAGATTTATATTAGGGATGTCCGATAATAAGCCTGTGTGAATTCCTGTATGATTTATATTAGGGATGTCCGATAATAACCTCTTGTCGATATCCAATATGCCGATATTGTCCAAACACTTAATTTCCGATTACGATTCTTACAGATATTAAATAATTATGCTAATGTCGGGTTGATAATATCGATCAGCCGATATTATTGGACTTCCCTGATTTATATGTTTCTGATGTGAGGTCTTACGATTTGTAAATGAACTCTTTCTCTTTTTTTCCCACTTACCGCACCCTGAAGTGGACAAGTAATTTTTCGTCTGTGTGGAACACGTGGGACGGAGGATACCAAAAGGAAAGATCGGACGATGCCAGTCCGAAAAGACTCAGGTACACTGGTAGAATTCCTGAAGAAATTAGCAAAACATCCTAATGACAATGACCTTTGATTAAAAACAACAACAACAAAAAACCACAAATATACACTTCTAGTTGTGTATTTAATAGATTTAGCTTAGAAGTGTAATTATGTATCCTCAACTTACCACATTTTTTTCCTGCCTGAATGCAAACCTCTTCAGCGGTGATTTGGCCACAAGAAATGTAAATCGTCGTTTCATCTTTGTTGGGGAGAAGATGGAGGTGTACTTGTAAACTCAGGCCAGTACTTGAACTGGACCTCTGGCTGCCTCCCCTGCCCCTGATCACCAGAGGAGCGGACTCCTCTTCACTGAGGTCCATGGATGCTTCTGTAAGTTCAAAAATAAACCTTTACCTTAACTGTATCAGAACACTATCTGTGGTTCAGTGGGTGAGATTAAATCACTTACATTTGTTGGTAAAACATTAGCAACGAATATATTCATTATATCGGTTATTGATCTGTGTCCTAACACTGTGAGGCTCTGTCACAGTCACTGGAAACTACAGTCTTTGTGCAGAACAACTTTGTGTTGAACAAAGACTGGCATCAATCAATGACATCAGTGACATTTCAGTTTCAACTTTTTTTTACCTTTAAAAAACATAAGTTTGAAATCCCCATCTCAGCCACTCGAAAATCTCTTTTCTTTTGCGTTTTTGCTTCATTTCATTCTGTGTGTGCGTGCGTGTGTGTTTGTGTGTGTCTTTTGGCAGGAAGTCAATTGGGACTTCCTGATTTAGACACAAAGAAGTTTCAAAACCGTCCGACTCCATGCCATGTCTGTTAATGGTTTCTTTCTGACAGAGTACGCTGACCAGCCAGGGTCGAGCTTTTTTACAGACAAATAATCACCTGTACTTCTACTGTCAATGTAAATTCTGCACATCAGGGTTTCAGCGCTATTAAATATATGTGGATATATGAGATGACATCGGTCTCTATGCTGTTGTCACGTCTGCAGCTGTCAGTGTTGAAGCTGATGATGGCAGATTGATCAAATACTACATTCACTGCACCCTGCAGCGTCAGTACCATCGTGGAGTACGATCCCTGTTGAACTCCTTTTAGTTTTGATGAGTCTGAAACCTTTCTCCTAACGTGATGTGTTATCCTTATGGGTTTTACGTTTTATAAGACACATGATGAAATACAGGAAACAGAAGGC